GCATCTGCGTCGCTCTACTTCTGTTATAGACACTTTAGATTATGATTAAATTTCTTCTAGTATTACCTTCAAAACTTATGCTTTATCTCCAAAACATTACAAAACTCTGCGTTAAATGTTTCTAGCGAAAATATCTGGTGAACAAACAGTGTATTTATTTGTGTTTTTAAACCTAAGACAACCAAATTAGAAACACCATTCGTAGAATGCCCTAGTAATTTCAGAGTTAGATGAAGGAGCTGTCATATTTTCTTCAAATATTGAGCTTCTTTTAAGGAAAATAGGTTAATAAGATATATTTCCATACCATAAAGTCTGATTAAGTTACATTTGCACGTAGACAAATAATTTTCAGTGAGAACATGACGGAAAAGAGTTTTATCTTTTGTAATATCTTCAGCATTCAGAAATACACTCGGTATTGATACGAGCAAAATACCTAATACTTGTCATTTAAATATTCAAATAAGTAGCAGCTGGACTGTCGCTTTGTCAGTTCTTCACCGTAAATTTTCGAATACTTTTGACAAACACCTGATAGTTGAAATATGGACAATGCAATGTAATAAACAAAATCAAAAAGATAAAAATGTGGTTTTCGTCCGCGTTTACAGGTTACCGGTTTTCATTGAACTGTCTCATTTATTCAAATTAGTTATCAAATTATGAACTAATAGTAACTAATTCATCAATTTGACAAACAAGATAAACGTTCGGACGTAAATTGTACGGGTATGTCTTGGTTTCCAATTTGTTTTGCGTATTTCTGGGGTAATAATGAATTCATTAGATAAAAATACACTTCAGTTGAACACTACGTGATCTTGGTCTCAATAGTGATTTGTTGAATATTTTGATCAATTAAAATATCATACAGAAAATCAACTTGAAAATATATTCTAGATGAATTCTTTATTTTTTCCATCACCTTTTTCACGTTATTCACAATTTTATTAGGTGGTACCTAATGTGGTTTTAAATAGTTCTTTCGTTTTGAGTGATGTTTACAAATATAGTTACATGTTTATAACTCGTAAAATTTTCTTCTAATAAAGAAAGGGATATCACCATTACCAAAAGGGACTTCATTCATTTCAATATTTTTCCATAGTGGAAAACCTGCAAATATTAGATTCAAGTTAATTCTATTTGAAACAGGACATGACCTTGAGAACCCATTCCAAAAGGAAATAAGTTTTCTTTACTTGTTTCTACATCTCTTCCATCTTATTGACTATTTTAATAGGTAGTACTTAATGCGTTCTTAAGCAATGCTGTTCTTTTCCCTTTTCTTTCTTTTTATTTAGATGATAGCCACAGCAAATCATCATCTACCATCGAAATAAATGAAATAGACCCCTGAGTTTGGAAACCGATATTAAGAAAACATAGAGGCAAAAAAATTTTAAATTTGGACCATATACAAGGTGTCCCATTAATATTGCGAAAAAAATCAGAGGGAGTTTCCTTGACCAAAATTAAGAATGAAAGTTCATATAAACCTATGTCCGAAAATGCTTCGTTTGGGAGATACAGGGTGTTGAAATTTTTACTAATATCTGAAGAACCCTGATTCCGATTTTTTTTTGAAATTTGGTATATTTGTTTATAAAAATGGTAGACGTCTTCTGACGTAATTTGATTTATTTTATCTATTCCAGCGGCGTTCGGGGACTCGCTCCTGTTGATATTAATAAGTAAATATATGAGACGTCATTGCTTTTTCTTAGGTGTCATATGTTTTTCTAATTATGCGATAAAAAATACAACTTATTTGTCTTTTTACTTTTTTTGATATCTTGCTTCGTTTTCGAGCAAAAAATTAATAGCTTATTAAGTGTGTGATTTTAATAAGTATTTGACCTGTGTAGTTGTCAATTCCTGCTTGTCAAAATGAATTACACAAATAGTGAAATGTGTGATATGCATTTTCTTTATGGCCTTGCCAACGGTAATGCATTATCCGCCAGGCGCCTCTATGAGCAGAAATACCCTAATCGTATAATTCCTCATCATACTATCTTCACCCGTCTTCATCAACGTCTTAGTGCAACTGGAAGTTTTCGAAAACTTACCGCAGGAAACGGGCGACCCCGCACAGCAATAACCCTACAATTTGAAGAAGATGTACTTCATGAAATTGAGGACACTCCAACAACAAGTACCAGACAGATTGCTAGAAACTTAAATGCAAGTCGTTCTACAATTTTCAGGATTTTAAAAAATAATCTTCTATACCCTTATCACATCCAACGGGTTCAGGCACTTTTACCGACTCATTTTCCTTTAAGATTAGATTTATGTCGATGGATACGACAAAGAATTGGGGAAAATCCTCAATTTTTAGCAGAAGTACTATTCACGGAAGAGGCGAATTTTTCTAGAAAAGCCATAATGAACTTCCATAATAATCATGTATGGGCGGAGGAGAACCCAAATGCAATATTAGAAGGCCGTCATCAACACCAGTTTTCACTTAATGTATGGGTCGGAATTGTGGGAGATCACTTAATAGGCCCATTTTTTTTACCAACAAGGCTTACTGGAGATGTTTATCGCCGTTTTCTTGAGGATGAATTGCCCGTACTTTTGGAAGACATCCCATTGCCATTGAGGTTGCAAATGTATTTTATGCACCATGGTGCTCCATCCCATTTCAGTTTAGTTCCAGGTGAATATTTGAACAATATCTATCCAAAGCGCTGGATAAGTCGAGGAGGCACTCAACCCTGGCCCCTGAGGTCTCCCGACTTAAATTCGTTTGATTTTTCCTTTGGGATCACCTCAAACATTTTTATACAAGTCCAGTGCAAACCATAGACGAATTAAGAAATCGCATTGTCGCATCCTATGAAATACACAGCCGGAATATTTGAACGGGTTCGCCAATCAATGTGTCGTAGGATAGATGACTGTATTAGAGTCGAAGGTGCACATTTTCAACAACTGTTGTATCGCCTGTATATGTAAAGTATTTTTCATATCATTGATATTTGTTAAATATTTTTTCTTATGTTTCTGTTATTATTAATTATTTAAAAAAATATTATTCAGCGAGTTATTGTTTCTCAGCTTGTTACATTGTTTTTCCTTCAAATGTATTGTTAAAGTTGATTAGTAAATAACTAAAACATTGAATTTCTATTTTTGTTTTCTACTGCCCTTAAGAATGTGCATATGAAAGGATATTAATTTTTTGCTCGAAAACGAAGCAAGATATCAAAAAAAGTAAAGAAACAAAAAAGTTGTATTTTTAGTCGCATAATTAGAAAAAAATATGACACCTAAGAAAAAGCAGTGACGTCTCACATGTTTACTTATTAATATTAACAGGAGTGAGTCCCCGGATAGATAGAATAAATGAAATTACGTCAGAAAACGTCTACAGTTTTTATAAACAAACATACCAAAATTCAAAAAAATCGGAATTAGGGTTCTCCAGATATTAGTAAAAACCTTGTATTTTCTCTAAATTTCAACACCCTGTATCTTCAAAACGAAGCATTTTCGGACATAGGATTATAGGAAATATTTCTTATTTTTGGTCAAGGAAACTCGCCTTGAATTTTTTCGCAATATTAATGGGACACCCTTTATAGCCTCACTATTCCTCTATTGTGTGCTAAAATTTCAGTTAGTTTCATTCTCCCATTTTTTAGTTATTAATGAAAATTGATACTTCTCACTGTAACTCGTCCTAATTTTTTTGTTAATTTATAAAAGAATTCCAAATTTTTACTGACGATAAGTCGAACTATTTCTTTAGTACTGTGAAGGTCATTTGTCTCAAAAGCTCTTCTTTTTTTATTTTTAAGCAAAACAGAAAATCCGTAAATAATGCATTATTTAAAAAAAGAAAAAAAACTAACTCAAGTAGTAAATAATTGTAAACAACAATGAAAAACATTGTTAAAATAATACATAAATAAAGTCTATACTGAATACCCTACATCGGACCGTGAACGTAATTGACCATTCCGATACTGTTTTTAAGAATATCATATTTATAACCAACTGTATTATTTTAACAAATTTTTTCAGATTGTTATTTACAGTTATTTACTATGTCCATTTTTTTCTTTTTTTAAAGAACGCAATATTTACAGAGATATCACTCCCTTCTGTTTTGTTTAAAAATAAAAAAAGAAGAGCTTTTGAGACAAATGACCTTCACAGTACTAAAGACAATAGTTCGACTTATCGTCAGAAAAAAATTTGATTTTTTTTATCAATTAATAAAAAACTTACGGCGAGTTATCAATTTTGTAGGCAGAAAACCGTGATTTTTTCAACATTTTCATTAATAACTAAAAAATGGAATAACTAAACCAACTGAAATTTTAGCACACAATAGAATAATAGTGAGGCTATATACAGGCTGTCTACTATAAGAGGGCCACTCCTATGTATCTCGCTTAATACACGTCAAAAATCTGTATATGTTTTTTGTTGCATTTTTTCAGGCCTTTGATGCTTGTCAAAACAAATTTGAGATCCATGGATCTCTCATAAAGTTGACCATGGTCTAAATGTAATAAATATAAAAGATACAGGCAACATGTAGTACATCGCTTGAAAGAGGAAAGAACAAGCAATTTTTGTAGCCGCAGCCTGCTTCGATGACATTTTTTTTTGCCCGCGCAGAGGGCGCAACAAATTACATACGATATTTTAAAAATCTGTTTGCACTAGGTGAAAAATATCAATTTTTCCATGAAATTTTATTTAAATAAGTTTTTTCTATCTCTTAAAATAAAAAAGTTAGACGACCCCAAACTTTTGGTACTTTTCCGGTTTTTTATGATTACTCACAAAGTTGGCTATGGATAACAAATTTGCTTTTACGAGCATAAAGGCCTGTATAGTACAATTTTTTTTGTCCCTACGTTTTCTTAACATCGGTTTCCTAACTCAGGGGTCTATTTCATTTATTTCGATACTAGTTACATGTTAAATAATTTTTGCTACAGAAGATATAGATTTCATTCATAGCCACCTACCTCCTGGAAACCTGTGCGGAAATATCCTCCCGTGCCTGGACAGCAGCCACGGATACAAGGGATAACTGTCTCTAGGTTGCGTGTGTTGAGCAAGCGGCGACGGCTGTCCAGGAAACCCATGCTGACCGGAACTTAACGCCGCTGCCAACGCAGCACCTTGGAAGTGCGCCGCCAAAGCGAAGGGGTGCTGTCCGTGATTGTGCATCATCTCGGGCTGCAGGAACCCGTTCTTGGGCACCAAGTTGGGGTCGTAGGTAGGATTCGGTCGCACCAGGGTGTGAGCGGGGATCCCCGGCACCATAATCGGGGGTTTGGGCGACCCCACGGGCGATCTTTGGGGCGAGAACTGCTTGGGCGAGCCATTAAGTCTATTTTCCGCGTCACTACTTGGGGAAAGGGGCGCGGAACTCTCAGAGTAATGCACGGGGGAGTGCGGGGGACTGCCCTGGCTAGCACCTCCAACTATAGAGTCAATAGAGAATCCGATCTTTGGTTTCGAAGGCACTGCCACTATTGGTGTCGGTGCCAGAGGCATCATGGTTGAGTTTCCCGGCGAGGAGAAATGGAAATTCTGCCTGGCTAACATCTAGTGTCCCAGCACGGATACTTCGTCTTGGTACAGAACCCCAACATCATCACTGATCACACCCGGTGCACGGACAACTTCATCGGAAGAGTCGAGTATCCTTTCGAGTAGGTTTTCCGACGGATAGGATGGGATAGTCACTGAGCCACTTCCTAGTTGAACGATTGCCGGACGACACCGGAAACACTGCGAGACATCAGACCCCGAGTGGCATCTGTATCTGACGCGGATATATGCGTTTTGAATAATCGTGATTGAGGTGTCAACGATTGCCCACTTAAGGCTTAAAAACGTGCTACGTGCTACCGCCAACAAATCTCTTGAGTTAATAAGTGATATGAGCATTGGACTTGAGGCTTTCGGCGTAGAGGGGCGACAATGTAAATGGACTTGGCGGTGGTGGGGGCGACCGGATTGGGGATTGGTGAGCCGGGACAAGTCCCTCGGATTTAATGGTTCCTCTCGATTGGCGCGAACGCTGGATACAAATGGAAATACGACTGCGGCCGACGCCCCTTATTTGCACCTCCTTTAAGGCTAAAAAAACCCGTTTAGTGGGATAAATGCCGGGATATTACACTTATGGCATAGTAAGTTTTAAGACAAACAGGTTGTAGGCTATTCCGAGGCCTTTTTACAGATCAAGACGGCTAGTTGACATTTAGTCATTTGTTTTTTAAATTATTGACGTCGTAACGCCTCGCGGTGCGCGCGCACTCGCGGGGGGCGTGGCCACGGCATACTTAATTCCTTTAATTAAGGTGTCAACAACGGCACTGCCTGTTTTTATTAACACTCCTATCGCTTTATTGTCGTAGGTTTAATGTAATTATAAAATTTATTTGTGTGGAAATTAATTAATTGCTTTATGACGTTGCAACGGCTTTTTCTATTCGACACGGGCACTAATAGATTCAGAACTGATGCTGTGAATAATAATTGTTCGTAAGATGTGCGTCATTTGCTGATTTATTAATTCCCTTACTAATTGGTTGAAGTTCCTATTTGGACATTTTATGGTTTTAATTTTGCCGAAACTCGTTGACAAATTCAACCATGTATTGTTCATTACTTGCTAAAATAAGTTAAATAGTTGGTTAGTTATTGAAAATGGGGAGTTGACTATTTTATTTTACCGTGAATTACTGGTTCTAAATACAATCATTCTTTAAGAACTTAAGCATTAAAAATTGATTACATTAATACATAACATCTTGCGCTAAAGAGAACGCCTAATATTTAGGATGTCGTAACTATTTTCGTCTAAAGAAAAGGGAAATAAATGCTCATCGAAGTTATAAAAAAGGTTGTTAATAATTATATATTTGTTAATACCATTTTGGGTTAACGCTGAAGGCATCGCAACAAAAGATGTATCTTCTCTACCCAGTTGAGCATAGTAGCTGTTTTACATTGACAAATTTATTCATCATCAAATGTACGAAGTTCTTCATGAATTAATTGGGGAATTTATTGGTAAACAGTGTGGTTTTACACTGCTACAGACTTTGTCAAGTTTTTTGACACATGAATCAGCTCTACCAACAAGTCAATGAAGTAAATAAATTTAAAAAATATCACATTTCCACTCATAATTGTTGTAGTGATACAACAGCGGTACCGTTTTGATACATATAATATAAACATTAGTTTTTGTAAGTAACAAAAAAGTAAAAACAATGCAATACTAGTACACAATTATTTACATATTCCAATAACATAACCTCATTACTGATCTGAGGCTGGAAATCTGTTGGGTTGGTATTTCTGAACTTCACGAAGAAATTGACGAAAATTAAAACATGTTCTAATTCGTCAAGAACTTGAATAAATTCATGAAGTTATTTAACAGCAGATTTGGTGCATTACACTTGTCCAATTTCTTGATGAAGCGACTTCATGAATTAATTCATCAATAAATTGTCAATGTAAAATAGCTTTAACACATGTATTGTATCCACCTACTTCAGAAAAAATATCTATCTTTGATCCACTTATAGAATGATTTAGGTTATTTTTAAATGAAACCATCAAGTACATATTTTCTCTGTAAATCATCTAGCAAAATTTTACCGTCGCCTTAGTGTCTAATTGACAATATTTGAATTAGACTGAATTAGATCATAGTTTTTTATAATGCTGGAATATTTCCTATAAATTAAACAGGCGCACATAAAAAAGTCCATACCCAAGAGACACACAATTTCCGAAGGAATTCGATGCTCTGAACACGATACTGTAGTTCAAATTCATGACTTGTCGATGAATTTCGGAGAAATGTGAAATTTTTGGGTGAAACCGCCCAAATATGAGTCAAAACTGACTTTTGTCCAAATATATCATTTTTATTCACATATCAGATTTTCTAAGACGCTGAATACAATGCCAATAGTATTTAAAATTTACCCATGATCTGGATATTTCTCAGAAAATCCACTATTTGGGTAAAAACTGGTCCAAATATCACTGATTTTTTCCTAAATATTGTCCAAATATTATGTCCAAATGTATTTTCGTATTATTTAGGCCAGTTTTCACCCAAAAATTTCACTTTCCTCCAAAAATTCATCGACAAGTCATGAACTTATACTACCATGATCGTGTTCATCAGCATATCGAATTCCTTCGGAAATGTGTATGTTATTAAAATAAGCATGATCTAATAGATTTCACTTGGCACTTATTAATACTTTGGAATTCATGACAACTACCTTAACTATTTACAATCGATGGGATTCTATCAGTTGGTCTCTGAAGTTTTCATATAAATATACCTACATAATAATAAATAAACTTTGGTATTTTCATTTTTGCCTTACTAAACATATCTTTCCCAATATAAGTAGATAACCCTAAAATTGTTCAAATTTCTGTAATAATCTTTAAGTTACTTTATTTTGTAAGAATAGTCCATTTAAAAATGCTTCAGAGTTGGATGATCTTCGACTGTGATGAGGATTCATCATTAGTCACAGGTCTGCAAGTTGTTTTTTAGAAGATAGGTATTACAAATGATCAGTATATGATAAATATTTAGAGATTTTTGTGTTAATAAAGATCCAGTAGCAACAAATTACCAGTTCACATTTACCAATCAGTTGCAGAAATACTTATGTCGTATAAATTAGTACACTATCTATATCTCTATCTTGTTCAATCATTGTCTTAACTAAAAGTGCGATTTCTTGTCTGTAAAACGCCAGACTTAAGAAAATCGCGTGCGAATAATCTACACTGAAGTCAAATGACGTCAAAAAAGACGTCAAGAAACATGAGAAATTCCTTTCAATACACTGTAAAAAAATTGACTTAATTTCACTCAATTTCACTCAGTAATGTTTCAATGTCTGTCCACATCCGATTAAGTGAAATTTTCACTCTATTAATATGAGTACAACTAAAATTTTATTAGTGAAAGAATCAGTTTTGGTTCCAATACTTATTATCAAGAATGAGCAAAATTGTCAAAATGCTCAATATTGACTCAGTTCAGGCACTTTAGAGATTAAATTTAGGGAAGAGGATGATCATAAACTTACAAACTGTTTATTGTAGCCTAAAACCTTCATATACCTACAGTAGCGGAGATTTAGATAACACTTAACAATGGTATTTGTTTAATTGAATTGACCAGGGATTACCTTAGAGAGCTTTTATGTCAATATAAATTTTGGCTGGAAAATATAACAATGGATATACCAGAGACATTTATAACGATTTTTTAGAAACCAAATACCTACAAAACCTACTTAGGCGTTCATTTAATTTAGGAGCTATTTTCCTGTTTATAGTTTATAGAATTTAAAAAATTGACACCATAAAATATATGCGATTTCAATGAAATAACTTTTGATTTCTTGTCAAAAGTATATGATGTAAATTTAAGTAGGTATACCTACCTCAAAATTTTATATTATATATATTATATATATATATTCAACTCAATATTATACTTATATTAGAATTTTTCGAAATTATTTTTATGGAAAGGTATATAGTAACATAAACTTAAGAATATTTTCTTTTTTTCGGGAATAATTTACTCTATCGTCACATAAAAGAACAGTTGCTACAAAGAGTATTTTTATTTCCACATTTGTTCTACGTATTATTTTGTACTTTTTATACAAAATTTTCGACTTTCCTCAGGATAAACAGTGAACCGTGTTTTACAGCGGTTACGTGAAAAAATCCGCGAAGAGACCAGAGTTGCGGCGAGACAACTTATAGTTCTTGCACCATGACAATGCACCAGCACCCTCCTTACTAGCCAGACCTGGCTCCGTGCGATTTTTTCTTATTTCCGAAATTAAAATCAGAGCTGAAAGGACGCCGTTTTCAAATTGTTGATGACATCAATTTCGTATTTATTATATTTAGACATAGTTTTTATTTTAGATGATTATTAATTATTAGCTATTTACTAGATATTGTTGGTGTAGTTCAATGCTAGTTGAGGCATAGAGTAGTTGTTGGCTGTTCTCCGCAATATCGACAGTTAGGAATCGTCACTGTAAAAAAATTTCACTCAAATTTCACTCAATTTTACTTAATAATGTATCAGTTTCTGTCCATGAGTACAAATGAGTGAAACTATTGCATCAGAAATGAGCGAGTTTTACTCAAATCCGAGTTGCTGCTAACTATCAATTCAGTGACTTTTGACTCTATTCGAAGTATATAAAACCAATTTAGAGTTGACTTTATCTCTAATATGATTTAAATTTAACTATTATTGAGTCATTTTTTTACTCAGACTTGGTTTTTAATTAACTAAATATTGAGCGCAAAAATAAATCACTCGTAAATGATTAATTAGGATATACAGTGTTGAGATTAATTCACTTCGCGAGGCTTCCTCCTGTCCTGGCTGAGACCCGCTGGCTGAGACCCGCCGCCGCCGGCTAAAGCCTGTTTTTTACAGTGTTGTCTGTTGGATTACATGTATTTTGCATACCTCGATTTTCTTTACAATAGAGTAAAAATAGTTAATTCTGATTGAATGAATAGAACTTTACCAGTGTTGGATTATTTCCGTATGTATAAATTCTGAAAAGATCAACACTTAAGTGTAAGTTTGAGATTTATAACAGTTTTATTTGGTTCCTTATAAAGTAAGTATAGGATGTGAATTGCACTTACACATGACCATATTTTGAATAAAATAATATTCAGAATAATAACATCCGTGGTAATAATTTCGGAATACGTACGGTTTTGCTTTAAACATATTGCTAATAATAAATTTCGCAGAAACATATATCTCAGAAAGAACAAAAAAGAGGTTTAAACAAATTATCCGCATCTTGAT